ACCTGGAGAATAATAAAAAGACCACTGCACATGCCTAGTCCAATATTAATCTCCCCAGTTAAAACACAGAAAACAAGCTACACAAAAAAACAACCCACAACAACTCGCAGAAAAACAAAAATAAAAACAGCAACCTACAAAACCTAAACTGAGCAGCAAACTACAGACTTCTGAATTCCAACCAAGCTTGATGAGCTTTAGAAATCACCAACTTGATAGGCAACAAAATGTTCTCAAACAGTCACAAGTTCCTCGATTTTCACAACCACCAAAGAAGGTAGGTTGTGAGTTGTATTCTATCCTCAGCAACAGGAGTCATGTTCAAGGAGCAGAGGTTGCACCGCCAAGAGCTGAAGTTACAACAATCAGAGCTAACCCCCTCTCATTGCACTGGAATTAGGTTCCACATCAGTTTAGCTCTTGGACAATGGAATAGAGTATGATCAATGGACTCATGCTCATCACCACAGCCTTGACAAATGACATCAATAGCAATACCTCTATTGGCAAGATTGGTTTTAACAGGTAAGGAACCATTAATACACTTCCATATGAAATGTTTGATATTCCCTTTGATTTTAAGATTCCAAGTTCTTACTCTAGCTTTCTTAATGAGAGCAATGTTCCTGCTATTACCTGGGATATCAAAATGAAGGATCTTCTGCTTGATCAGATAAGAATAAGCAGATGAAACAGAGAAATTTCCCTTCTTCTCCAAGAACTAAAAAAGTTTATCTTTCTATGTAGGATTCAAATTCTTGATTTTCAGGATTTCCTGGCTTTCCTTCTCACTGAAGAGCTGCTTTACCAGCCATGAGTTCCAAAGAAGGCCATTTTCCTGCATGAGGTTCTTGACCCAAATGATATGTCCTTGAGCTATTTGCAGCAATGCAGGTTTGGTCATTGGGAGGCTGGGAATCCAGGTAATATTACTGATCCTGGTCGAGGCACCATCAATAATTTTAGTTCTCAGCCCCTGAGCTAGTAATGGGACACAGTCAAGCCAAGTATTCCATAATCAAGATCCATTCTAAGTTTTGGAGGCTTCAAAGATTGAGCAATGTGGGAAGTATTTTGCTTTGATGACTTGGCTCACAGAAGGTCAGGTTGTGACACCAATCTCCACACCTGCTTACAAATAAGTGCCTGGTTGAAAGAGCTTATATCCTTGAAACCAATTCCCCCATCAGCTTTTGGCAAAGTGAGGAGATGACAAGCTTTCCAGTGCACTCCCTTTTCTTGAGAATCA